CGTGTTTATTTCTTCCATAGTTTAGACGAACTTAAACTCCCTGTTAGCAAATAATCTTAGTTAACTTAACGACAAACTGTTTAAGCTAACACCACTAAAATGACGAAACATATGTGAAGCTATATTTTCAAAAAGTGCATGCATAATATCTATTGGAAATGATGCAGGAAAATCAATTGAACGCAACTCTAATAAGATACTATGCTCATTTATATCTCGTTCACGTTGTATTCTAGTTCTTGTTCCTCCAATTTCATTTTCTATTGCTTCAATATCTTGAAGATAGCTAATATGAGTATGCATTGGTAAATTCTCTGGGTTATAATTAGTTCTGTCATATCCTTGTGGCTGTTGAAGCGGAAAATATATATGTCAAGTTATATTAGAATATACTCCATTTATATAGCAAAAACAACATCCACTTCGAGCATTATGACCTAAGAGACACATGGCTTTGGATAAAGCAGGAATTTCATCTGACCATGACAGAATATGGCTTTGTAATATAAATGTTTCTTGTGATACTGCATCATAACATGTCATACCGGCTGAAAAATTTATTATTATAAATGAATTAATTTTTTATTATCAATTAAAAAAAACAAAAATTACTGTAGATATCACCTTAAAGTTGCTTTAGATCATCTATCAGTGGCTGTAGAAAACTATTAAATTCTTTTGGAGATTTTGGTCCTGAAATTACTACAGTAATCATTAAGTTTTCTTTCTTTACCCTATAAGATGGTGGAAGATTTGCATTTAAAAGTAAAACAATCCAGCAGTTATTTCGCTTCTGCTTAAATAACTGGTAGCCATCTGTTGATGCAATTAAAGCAACATCTCGATAATCAGAAAATAAGCCTAATGCAACCAGAGACTTATATTGATTGCCATCAATCACATCTTCAATTTTATCATTATTAGATATGTATTCTTCACTTGATATATATTCATGCTGATATTGAAAAATCATAGCTCGAGATGGATCTTTGTACTGTATTCTTAAACTATCAATTACAGAAAAGTATGCAGCAGACTTTTGGGGTTGTTTTAGTACTCTTCCAGGTATATACCATGGCTCTCCACATATAAAGCATGTATTACAATTTACATCCTTTCCAATATACGCACAGCACGAATTCCAACACATGTCTACAAGTTTAGGTTTAATTGGAATGATGTTTTCTAAGTTTTTTCGAAGTTTAAAAAGAGAAACATCTAATAGACCAAAAATTGTCATGATCTCATTAAATGCTTTGTCTGAAAGTGTATGCTTTTCCTTGATATAAAGTAACTGAAGTCCTTTTATTAAATTGTCCGATAAATCTAATAGTATTTAGGTTAGTACTGAATTTATAATAACAAATATAACTAATAAACCAAAGATTTACTTACTAAATTCTTTTAGAGCTAATTCATTATTATCATCTTTCTTGTCACTATTACATTCTTCATCATTATCATCTTCATCCTTATCATATTCTTTATCATTATGATATTCTTCATCACTATCATATTCTCCTTCACTAACATATTCTTCCTCACTATCATAATCATTTTCTCTTTCATCTCCATTATCATTTTCGTTAGTATCATATTCTTCTTCATTATTACCATCGCCATCACTTGTATTATTATCATCAAGCAAAATAATATCTTTATTTATTATTTCATATTGGTTATTATCACTAATATTAGTTGATTCTGAACTACTGGCAGCTATTGTATCCTCATAATTATCATGATTTATCACATCATAATATAAAATATCTTCTTCCATCATTTCTAAGCGAATATATTGATTAATATTTTTACCAATATCTGTTGATTCTATTCGTGTTATATTACCATTATATGAAGCTGATATATCATGATTATTAAATGTTTTTTCTCTTCTTCGATGTCTTGTTCAAGTGGCAGTACTCATATATTTGCCAGATTACTACTTTCATGTTAGCAAAGTATACAAATACACAAAATACTTCTTCTTGCCGTTATTATTATTAATTCATAAAAAGAATATTAATTAGGATTGAAGATCAACTTGCAACATGTATTTTTAAAAATTTGTTTTAAGATTAATTTAAAATAGTACAGAAACAAGAATTATTATGATTACGGATAAAATAATCTTATAATAATGGCAAAATAAATTTATTTTTTTTTCTTCAAATAAAAAAAAGGCGTCATTAACCTCCTACGTATATATATTTACTTTTTTGTCTAGCCTTATATATTTAACTATAATGAAAATAATAATAAATACTGATGAAACTAAAAAACTAACTAAATAATAATCACCGATCACTAGAGTATATAAGGTTGACAATTGTTTTTTATTCTTTCTTTTTACATCTCTTTTTAATATTTTATTTAAAAATACTTGAAAGTTACAATAACATAAATTAAAAAGAGTAAATATTATTATTACTGAAAATATTATTCACCTTTTTTTCTTGAAGGATGTTTACACTGATAAGTGGAAAACATTATTGCTTTAGAATATTTTTAACTTTCATGTTATACATTTATTTTTAGACATGGCTGACGATAACTTGGGTAAAATAGTAATAATAATACAGATATCACAACAAATTTAGAGTCAATCCTAAATGTAGCTTCGCTGCTTCAGTTATTAACAAATCTAACAGTTTTGCAGCAAGCTATTACAATGATTACTACGCAAAATCAACAAATCCCTTTTGTGCCAATTTTCACGCCTAATTCTACTATTTCTACACCATCAAATACTCTTATAGGCGTCATTAATACATCAGTAAATATATAAAATGTTTAAAAAATTTTGATAACATTTTAATATTTTACTAATATTTGTTAGTTTCCATGTGGTTCAATACAAAATCCTATTACTAAAGAAAAATGGAACCAATAGAAAAAAAACAGCCTAAAGAAGACTGGAAAGATTTTCTTTATTTATCATATGATACTTATTAGACTTATTGAATAAGTAATTAATTTTTTACATTTTTATAATTTAGACTATATATACATTCTAAATAATTTGTAAATTACAGAGAAATC